AAAACCCTAAACCCTAAACCCTAAACCCTAAACCCTAAACCCTAAACCCTAAACCCTAAACCCTAAACCCTAAACCCTAAACCCCTAAACCCTAAACCCTAAACCCGTGACCAGCGAACATCGTGACTAACGAGCATCATGACCAGCGAGCATCGTGACCAGCGAGCATCGTGACTAGCGAGCATCGTGACCAGCGAGCATCGTGACTAGCGAGCATCGTGACCAGCGAGCATCGTGACCAGCGAGCATCGTGACTAGCGAGCATCGTGAGTAGCGAGCATCGTTACCAGCGACATCGTGACTAGCGAGCATCGTGTGTAAGGAAAAACCCTTTTCCCTTACAGGGGTTTACTAAACCGCGTACAACCCCAACTTTCGGAAGTGCACGTTCGGCCACTTTGCTTGCTGCCGAAGCAACCTCGCGTCGCCTTCGGCTTTCCCTTGCCCAACCTGCACCCAACCTCGCGTTCCCGAGGTTCCCGCCTAGCTAGGTTGCCGAACCTGCTATATAATTGCATACCTTCTCATTGTATGAGCAGTTCATTGAGTCACAGCCTCGTTATTCGTTATTCCGCGCAACTCTGTTTGACAACTCATATCATCGTGACTAGCATCGTGATTGACATCGTGAGAATGTAAAACCGTTAAGAGGTATAAGTAGTTTTCAAATAAATTCCTTTATCAATCCGTTAAAATGATTGAAACCAATTATTCTGAAAATAGATTGTTCAATGAGATCATAGAAAAACAGAATCGTACTAAAAAAAACTAATATAAAGAGGAAAAAAATATATTGATAACCTGGTAGATTTAGCTAGCTTATGGATGTAATTAGTCGCTACAACGCAATGGCGCAACGATCGAGCGGCGTAATGATTGAGCGACGCAGCGACGCAACGAGGCAACAACGCAACGGCGCAACGATCCGACGGTGAAATGATGACATACGATGTAATAAATCGCAACAGCGCAACAGCGCAACCACTCAATGGCGGATCTGCATTTACTAGAACTACTACATATTATAATGTACTAACTATTTTAGACTAGCTAGAATATTTGTCACATTGTGATAATATTGGAACATTATAATATCGTGACAATCGAGCATCGTGACTAGCGAGCATCATGACCAGCGAGCATCGTGACCAGCGAGCATCGTGACCAGCGAGCATCGTGACTAGCGAGCATCGTGACCAGCGAGCATCGTGACCAGCGAGCATCGTGACCAGCGAGCATCGTGACCAGCGAGCATCGTGACCAGCGAGCATCGTGACCGGCGAGGATCGTGACCGGCGAGCATCGTGACCGGCGAGCATCGTGACCGGCGAGCATCGTGACGGGCGAGCATCGTGACGGGCGAGCATCGTGACGGGCGAGCATCGTGACCGGCGAGCATCGTGACCGGCGAGCATCGTGACTAGCGAGCATCGTGACTAGCGAGCATCGTGACCAGCGAAGATCGTGACCAGCGAGGATCGTGACCAGCGAGCATCGTGACCAGCGAGCATCGTGACCAGCGAGCATCGTGACCAGCAAGCATCGTGACCAGCGAGCATCGTGACCAGCGAGCATCGTGACTAGCGAGCATCGTGACCAGCGAGCATCGTGACCAGCGAGCATCGTGACTAGCGAGCATCGTGACTAGCGAGCATCGTGACTACCGAGCATCGTGACTAGCGAGCATCGTGACTAGCATCGTGATTGACATCGTGAGAATGTAAAACCGTTAAGAGGTATAAGTAAATTTCAAATAAATTCCTTTATCAATCCGTTAAAATGATTGAAACCAATTATTCTGAAAATAGATTGTTTAATGAGATAATAGCAAAACATAATAATACTAAAAAAAAAAACTAATGACCAACATGATCAGCGAGCATCGTGACTTGCGAGCATCGTGACTGGCGAGCATCATGACTAGCAAGGATCGTGACCAGCAAGCATCGTGACTAGCGAGCATCGTGAGCAGCGAGCATCGTGAGCAGCGAGCATCGTGACCAGCGAGCATCGTGACCAGCGAGCATCGTGATTAGCGAGCATCGTGACCAGCGAGCATCATGACCAGCGAGCATCGTGACGAGCGAGCATCGTGACCAGCGAGCATCGTGACCAGCGAGCATCGTGACCAGCGAGCATCGTGACCAGCGAGCATCGTGACCAGCGAGCATCGTGACCAGCGAGCATCGTGACTAGCGAGCATCGTGACTAGCGAGCATCGTGACTAGCGAGCATCGTGACCAGCGAGCATCGTGACCAGCAAGCATCGTGACTAGCGAGCATCGTGACCAGCGAGCATCGTGACTAGCGAGCATCGTGACCAGCGAGCATCAAGACTAGTGAGCATCGTGACTAGCGAGCATCGTGAGTAGCATCGTGACCAGCGACATCGTGACTAGCGAGCATCGTGACTAGCATCGTGATTGACATCGTGAGAATGTAAAACCGTTAAGAGGTATCCTAAGTAATTTTCAAAAAAAAATCTTTATCCATCCGTTAAAATGATTGAAACCAATTATTCTGAAAATAGATTGTTCAATGAGATCATAGAAAAACATAATAATACTAAAATAAGTTAATCTAAAGATTACCTGGTAGATTTAGCTAGCTTATGGATGTAATTCATCGCTACAACGCAATGGCGCAACGATCGAGCGGCGTAATGATTGAGCGACGCAGCGACGCAACGACGCAACGAGGCAACAACGCAACGGCGCAACAACAATCCGACGGTGCTATGATGACATACGATGTAATAAATCGCAACAGCGCAACGGAGCATCGTAAGCACGAGCATCGTGAGCACGCGCATCGTGACCACGAGCATCGTGACCACGCGCATCATGCCCACGAGCATCGTAAGCACGAGCATTGTGAGCACGCGCATCGTGAGCACAAGCACCGTGACCATGAGCATCTTGAGCACGCGCATCGTGACCACGCGCATCTTGAGCACGAGCATCGTGACCACGAGCATCGTGACCACGAGCATCGTGACCACGAGCATCGTGACCACGAGCATCGTGATCACGAGCATCGAGAGCACGAGCATCGTGAGCACGAGCATCGTGAGCACGAGCATCGTGAGCACGCGCATCGTGACCACGCGCATCTTGAGCACGAGCATCGTGAGCACGAGCATCGTGACCACGAGCATCGTGACCACGAGCATCATGAGCATCATGAGCACGAGCATCGTGACCACGAGCATCGTGACCACGAGCATCGTGACCACGAGCATCGTGACCACGAGCATCGTGACCACGAGCATCGTGACCACGAGCATCGTGACCACGCACATCATGAACACGAGCATCGTAAGCACGAGCATCGTGAGCACGAGCATCGTGAGCTAGTGCATCGTGAGCACGAGCATCGTGAGCACGAGCATCGTGAGCACGAACGTCGTGACCGAGAGCATCGTGACCACGCGCATCATGCCCACGAGCATCGTAAGCACGAGCATCGTGAGCACGAGCATCGTGAGAACGCGCATCGTGAGCACAAGCACCGTGAGCACGAGCATCGTGACCACGAGCATCGTGACCACGAGCATCGTGACCACGAGCATCGTGACCACGAGCATCGTGACCACGAGCATCGTAAGCACGCGCATCGTGACCACGCGCATCGTGAGCACGAGCATCGTGAGCACGAGCATCGTGAGCACGAGCATCGTGAGCACGAGCATCGTGAGCACGAGCATCATGACCATGCGCATCGTGACCACGCGCATCATGACCAGGAGCATCGTAAGCACGAGCATTGTGAGCACGAGCATCGTGACACGAGCATCATGAGCACGAGCATCGTGAGCACGAGCATCGTGAGCACGAGCATCGTGAGCACAAGCATCGTGAGCACGAGCATTGTGAGCACGAGCATCGTGAGCACGAGCATCGTGACCACGCGCAGCATGACCACGAGCATCGTAAGCATGCGCATCATGAGCACGAGCATCGTGAGCTAGCGCATCGTGAGCACGAGCATCGTGAGCACGAGCATCGTGAGCACGAGCGTCGTGATTGAGACCATCGTGACCACGAGCATCGTGACCACGCGCTTGACTGGGCCTATTGCCAAGCCAGCAGGGGCGTGAGATTGTTGCGAGCATCATCGTTCATCGGCGCTCGCGAATGAAGAGCGCCCGCTGTACTTCCTGCACATGTGCGGATCCTTCCGCGTTTTGCGGCTGGAAGCGCTCCTTCCGATCGTTTTTCTTCCTCCGGGCTACGTGGCTGTGCTTCTCTAAGCCTATTGCCAAGCCAGCAAGGGCGTGGGAGGGTTGCAAGCATCATCGGTCATCGGCGCTCGCAAATGAAGAGCGCTCGCTGCACTTCCTGCACATGTGCGGATCCGGCGTTTTTGGGCTGGAAGCGCTCGTTCCGAGCGTTTTTCTTTCAACGGGTCATGTGGTTGTGCTTGTCTAGACCTGTTACCAAGCCAGCAAGGGCGTGGGAGGGTTGCGAGCATCATCGGTCATCGACGCTCGCGAATGAAGAGCGCCCGCTGCACTTCGTGTATATGTGCCGATCCTCTCGCGTTTTGGGGCTGAAAGCGCTCGTTTCAAGCCTTTTTTCTTCTGGCGGGTCACGTGGCTGCGCTTATCTGGGTCTATTGCCAAGCGGTGAGGGCGTGGGAGGGTTGTGAGCATCATTGGTCATAGACACTCGCGAATGAAGAGCGCCCGCTGCACTTTCTACACCTGGAAGCGCTCGTTCCGAGCGTTTTTCTTCTGCTAGGTTACGTGGCTGCGCTTGTCTGGGCCTCTTGCCAAGCCAGCAAGGGGGCGGGAGGGTTGCGAGCATCATCGGTCATCGGTGCTCGCGAATGAAGAGTGCCCCCTGCACTTCCTGCACATGTGCGGATCCTTCCACGTTTTGGGGCTGGAAGCGCTCGTTCCGAGCGTTTTTCTTCCGCCGGGTCACGTGGCTGCGCTTGTCTGGGCCTATTACCAAGCCAGCAAGGGCGTGGGAGGGTTGCGAGCATCATCGGTCATCGACGCTCGCGAATGAAGAGCGCCCGCTGCACTTCGTACACATGTGCCGATCCTCACGCGTTTTGGGGCTGAAAGCGCTCGTTTCGAGCCTTTTTCTTCTGCCGGGTCACGTGGCTGCGCTTATCTGGGTCTATTTCCAAGCGGTGAAGGCGTGGGAGGGTTGTGAGCATCATTGGTCTTAGGCACTCGCGAATGAAGAGCGCCCGCTGCACTTCCTGCACCTGGAAGCGCTCGTTCCGAGCGTTTTTCTTCCGCCGGGTCACATGGCTGCGCTTGTCTATTGCCAAGCCAGCAAGGGCGAGGGAGGTTTGCGAGCATCATTGGTCATCGGCGCTCGCGAATGAAGGGCACCTGCTGCACTTCCTGCACATGTGCGAATCCTTCCGCGTTTTTGGGCTGGAATAGCTCGTTTCGGGCGTTTTTCTTCTTCCGCTGGGACATGTGGTTGCGCTTGTCTGAGCCTATTGTCAAGCTAGCAAGGGCGTGGGAGGGTTGCAAGCATCATCGGTCATCGGCGCTCGCGAATGAAGAGCGCCCCCTGCACTTCCTACGCATGTGCTAATCCTTCCGCGTTTTGGGGTTGGAAGAGCACGTTCCAAGCATTTTTCTTCCGCCGGGTCTCGTGGCTGCGCTTGTCTGGGCTTATTGCCAAGCCAACAAGGGCGTGGGAGGGTTGCGAGCATCATCGGTCATCGGCGCTCGCGAATGAAGAGATCCCGCTGCACCTCCTGCACATGTGCAGATCCTTCCACGTTTTAGGGCTGGAAGCGCTCGTTCCGAGCGTTTTTCTTCTGCCGGGTCACGTGGCTGCGCTTGTGTGGGTCTATTGACCAAGCCCGCAAGGGCGTGGGAGGGTTGCGAGCATCATCGGTCATTGATGCTCGCAAATGACTCCTGCACTTCCTGCACATGTGTGGATCCTTCCGCGTTTTGGGGCTGGAAGCGCTCGTTCTGAGCGTTTTTCTTCCGCCGGGTCACGTGGCTGCGCTTTTCTGGGTCTATCGCCAAGCCAGGAAGTGCGTGGGAGGGTTGCGAGCATCATCGGTCATCGGCGCTCGCAAATGAAGAGCGCCCGCTGCACTTCCTGCACATGCGCGGATCCTTCCGCGTTTTGGGGCTGGAAGCGCTCGTTCCGAGCGTTTTTTTTTCCGTCGGGTCACTTGGCTGCGCTTGTTTGGGCTATTACTGTTAGAATATATAATTTATATATATTTATGTACCTGCCTGTAGCTGTAGCTTTAGTGTAGTTATAAACTCTTTGTATTGGTGGTGCACCTCCTTTGTCTCCTATTTGTACCCTTGACTCTATAGTGAAGCCCTTTTCTTTGCCTAAACTCTCTCGACACTTTCTCCTCTTCACCCTAGCATGGCTCCTCACCTCTAGCTACTATCTTGACATGGTTTCAGAGCTGGTTCTTTCCTAGAACCTTCATTTTTTTTTTTCAGAAACATGGGCCCGCCCTTAATGCAGCGCGAAATGCGCTATTTTCTTCGTCCCGTCGCGCCCTGCGCCCGTCTGATTCGTCGCCCCGCGGCCCCCCATTTCGTCGCCCCGCGGCCCCTGATTCGTCGCCTCGTGGCCCCCCATTTCGTCGCCCCGCGGCCCCCGATTCGTCGCCCCGCGGCCCCCCGTTTCGTCGCCCCGCGCCCCCCCCCGTTTCGTCGCCCCGCGGCCACCCGTTTCGACGCGCCGGGGCCCCCCGTTTCGTCGCCGCGGACGCCAGCGCCGGCGGGCGCCAGCACCAGCACAAGCACCAGCGACGAGCGCCAGCGCCGGGGCCGGCTCCCAGCGCCAGCAGCCCACGCCAGCGCCGGCAGCGGGTGATTCCGCCCTTCCCACCCGCCCTCCCTTCCGTCGTGGAGGGGGGGGGGGTTGGGGGGGGGGCGGGTGTGAGGAGCCTGCCGCTCCTCCCTCCCTTCCCTCTTCCTCTCTCCCTGCAGCACTTGTTGCTGTGGGGGGGGGGGGGAGAGAGGGTAAGGGGGATGAGGGAGGGTATGAGAGAGAGTGGCAGAAGCAGCAGCCCTGCATTTGCAACTGCCACCCCCTGCTACTGTGGCACCTCCAGCTGCAGCCCCTGTTGCCACTTAATTCGTCTCTTTCGTTTGCTGCTGTTGAGCGGCAGGTGCTGCCGTTGAGCCTGCTGTGCCGCCGCTCGTTGCCGCCGCACGCCGCTCTCCAGGCGACCTGCGCCACATGCACCTTTCTTTCGTTTCTGTATTGGCTAAGGGGTTTCTGCAGTTGTTTCTGCCACTGCTGCACTGGTTGTCATTGCACTTGCCTCCTGTTGCTGCTTTCTCTGTTCGTGGTGTACCCATCCAGGAGTTGTTGCTGCACAAGCTCCTGCTGCAGGCAGTTATGGGGGAGTGTTAGAATATATAATTTATATATATTTATGTACCTGCCTGTAGCTGTAGCTTTAGTGTAGTTATAAACTCTTTGTATTGGTGGTGCACCTCCTTTGTCTCCTATTTGTACCCTTGACTCTATAGTGAAGCCCTTTTCTTTGCCTAAACTCTCTCGACACTTTCTCCTCTTCACCCTAGCATGGCTCCTCACCTCTAGCTACTATCTTGACAATTACCAAGCCGGAAAGGGCGTGGGAGGGTTGCGAGCATCATCGATCATCGGCGCTCGCGAACGAAGAGCGCCCGCTGCACTTCCTGCACATGTATGGATCCTTCCGCGTTTTGTGGGTCAAAGCGCTCGTTTCGAGCGTTTTTCTTCCGCCGGGTCACGTGGCTGCGCTTGTCTAGGCCTATTACCGAGCCAGCAAGGGCTTGGGAGGGTTGCGAGCATCATCGGTCATCGGCGCTCGCGAATGAAGAGCGAGCGCCCACCGCACTTCATGCACATGTGCGGATCCTTCCGCGTTTTGGGGGTGGAAGCGCTCGTTACGAGCGTTTTTCTTCCACCTGGTCACGTGGCTGCGCTTGTCTGGTCCTATTGCCAAGCCAGCAAGGGCGTAGGAGGGTTGCGAGCATCATCGGTCATCGGCACTCGCGAATGAAGAGCGCCCGCTGCACTTCCTGCACATATGCGGATCCTTCCGCGTTTTGGGGGTGGAAGCGCTCATTCCGAGCGTTTTTCTTCCGCTGGGTCACGTGGCTGCGCTTGTCTGGGCCTTTTACCGAGCCAGCAAGGGAGCGGTAGGCTTGCGAGCATTATCGGTCATCGGCGCTCGCGAATGAAGAGCGCTCGCTGCACATCGTGCACATGTGCGCATCCGTTTTGGGGGTGGAAGCGCTCGTTCGAAGCAGCCCAGTACTTCTCAGGTGATTCGTGCAACTGATTCGTGCGGGAGGCTCCTAGGCGACTAATAATGGGATCGGTGCAATCGCGTCCCGTCACAGGCACTAAAACGAATCTGGATGGAGGCTGAATGCAGGTGTTATATGCCGTGCTGTACACTATGCTCTACTTAGTTGTTGCGGATAGTAGGGTTTTACGGATTCGCTGTACTGAAGGTCATTAGTGGAGCTCGCTTCACTCAATATCGAAAGCGATTTGAACCCTGAAAGCAAACCACCCTGCTCGTTGGCGAATGCGCCGTGTTGGAGATTAGCTCGGCACTACAAAAATTCCCTTGTAGAACGTTCAACGAGCCGCACAGATACATTGCGGTCCGCGTTTCCACTCCATTAGTCGACGCTCCCCCAGCTTTCCATTCCAGCACCGACCATCCGTGGCAGAGCCTCGAGGCGCCTCACAAGCAAGCTCGGGCGGCGCGTGTTGCGGTGCCGTGACGTGGCGTCTCGGCACCTCTCGTGTTCGCCATGGACGCGGCGGGAGCGGCGGAGTCGGCGACGGCGATGGCGGCGTGGCGCGGCGAGGTGGCGCGAGTGGCGCGGCAGCTGGCGGATCGAACGGCGTTGGAGCGCGCCAATGGGCTCACGGCGCTCGACGCGCTCCTCGCCGGTGCGCATGACGCGGTGATACAAGAGTCTTTGAGGCGTCTCAAAATGACGCGGTGACTTTTGAGTCGACTCAAAAGTCGTGACGCCCTCTGCCCGCCCTTCCCCCGCCCGTTCGCCCTCCCCTTGCCTCACCCGCCATTCCCAACTGCGCGCGCCGCCGCACATCCGCATTCCCCACTATTTCTGCTTTCGCCACTCCCTCGCCTCCTCGTCCCCACCGCCCTCTCCCTTCGCCATCCCGCTTCCTCTCCTTGCGCCTGTCTCTCTGTCCCCGTCGCACTCCATCCTCTCCCCTCCGCCTCCAGCTCTCACCGCCCCCCTCCGCAATTCCCGCCATTCCCGCTTCCCCCATTCCCCCTCTCCCCCGTTCCCCCATTCGCCCCCAGGCGTGGCGAGCGGCAGTGACGGCGCGGGCAGGCGCATGGAGGCAGTGAGCGCGCGCCTGCTCGCCATGCAGGGGCGGGGGGACGCGGGGGCGGATGGGGGAACGGGGGAGGGGGAAGGGGCGGAGGAAGAGGCAGGGAGCGCAGGGCGTGGGGCGCAGGGGTCAGAGGAAGGGGGGGGCGGTGCAAGTGGGGGTGGCGGCAGTGGCAGCAGCGGCAGCAGTGGCAGCAGCGTGGGTGGCGGGTGGAGTGCGCGGCATGGGGGCTTCCTGGGGGCTGAGGTATGGCGGGCTGGGCTGGGCTGGAGGCTGGGGATGGGGATGGGGATGGGGATGGGGATGGGGATGGGGATGGGGATGGGGATGGGGATGGGAATGGGGTCGTGACTCGTGCGCTGTGGGGTGTAGGCGGGTGCATGGTGGACAGGCGAGGGGAGAATGAAAGCTGATGGGGTGCGAGGCGAGGAGCATGCTCTGCTGTGCACGCTCTGTGCCCCGCACGCTGTGGCCCACACGGCCCCATGGCAGCACAGCAAGCTTGCCCCAACCTCCTCGCTTGCACCTTTCCCCGCACGCATGGCAGGTGCTGCTGCGGCACTGGAGCAGAGTGTTGGGCGCACAGGGGGAGCAGCGCGTGCACGCGGGCAGCGAGGAGCCGTGCGCTGCAGGGGGCGAGGGCCGGGGGCAGGGGAGCGGGGGAGGCGAGGCAGGGGAGGCGGGGGAGAGGGAGGGAGGAGGCAGGGAGGGGGGCGGGGGAGGGGACGGCGTGGCGGCGTTCTGCAGCGGAGCGGGGGAGGCTGTGCTGCTTCACCTGGATGATGAGGAGCCGCGCGTCAGGTGGGACGGGATGATGAGCATCAGTGCATCAGCATCAGCATCAGCATCAGCATCAGCGCATCAGCATCAGCATCAGCGCATCAGCATCAGCATCAGCATCAGCATCAGCGCATCAGCATCAGCATCAGCATCAGCATCAGCATCAGCGCATCAGCATCAGCATCAGCATTAGCATCAGCATCAGCATCAGCATCATCATCAGCATCACCATCAGCATCCGCATCAGCATCAGCGCATCAGCATCAGCATCAGCATCAGCATCAGCATCAGCGCATCAGCATCAGCATCAGCATCAGCATCAGCATGAGCATCATTGCTGGACACTCACAACCACTCACAACCACTCAAGTCCTGTTTCTTCTCCCACACGCGCCCTGCCTGCCCCTCCACCTCTTCTCCATCACCTGCTCACTCGCCCCTCTGTGTGTGTGTGCGCGCGCCCCTCTGTGTGCATGTGTGTGCGCGCCCCTCTGTGTGCATGTGTGTGCGCGCCCCTCTGTGTGTGTGTGCGCGCCCCTCTGTGTGTGTGCGCGCCCCTCTGTGTGTGTGTGCGCGCGCATGCCAGGCTGGCAGCAGCGGAGGCGCTCTGCGCCCTGGCGCGCTACGGGTCGCTGCCCGCCGCCCTCGCCCTCTTCAGGTCGCCGCTCCCCCGCTCCGCCCTCTTCAGGTCGCCGCTCCCCCGCTCCGCCCTCTTCAGGTCGCCGCTCCCCCGCTCCGCCCTCTTCAGGTCGCCGCTCCCCCGCTCCGCCCTCTTCAGGTCGCCGCTCCCCCGCTCCGCCCTCTTCAGGTCGCCGCTCCCCCGCTCCGCCCTCTTCAGGTCGCCGCTCCCCCGCTCCGCCCTCTTCAGGTCGCCGCTCCCCCGCTCCGCCCTCTTCAGGTCGCCGCTCCCCCGCTCCGCCCTCTTCAGGTCGCCGCTCCCCCGCTCCGCCCTCTTCAGGTCGCCGCTCCCCCGCTCCGCCCTCTTCAGGTCGCCGCTCCCCCGCTCCGCCCTCTTCAGGTCGCCGCTCCCCCGCTCCGCCCTCTTCAGGTCGCCGCTCCCCCGCTCCGCCCTCTTCAGGTCGCCGCTCCCCCGCTCCGCCCTCTTCAGGTCGCCGCTCCCCCGCTCCGCCCTCTTCAGGTCGCCGCTCCCCCGCTCCGCCCTCTTCAGGTCGCCGCTCCCCCGCTCCGCCCTCTTCAGGTCGCCGCTCCCCCGCTCCGCCCTCTTCAGGTCGCCGCTCCCCCGCTCCGCCCTCTTCAGGTCGCCGCTCCCCCGCTCCGCCCTCTTCAGGTCGCCGCTCCCCCGCTCCGCCCTCTTCAGGTCGCCGCTCCCCCGCTCCGCCCTCTTCAGGTCGCCGCTCCCCCGCTCCGCCCTCTTCAGGTCGCCGCTCCCCCGCTCCGCCCTCTTCAGGTCGCCGCTCCCCCGCTCCGCCCTCTTCAGGTCGCCGCTCCCCCGCTCCGCCCTCTTCAGGTCGCCGCTCCCCCGCTCCGCCCTCTTCAGGTCGCCGCTCCCCCGCTCCGCCCTCTTCAGGTCGCCGCTCCCCCGCTCCGCCCTCTTCAGGTCGCCGCTCCCCCGCTCCGCCCTCTTCAGGTCGCCGCTCCCCCGCTCCGCCCTCTTCAGGTCGCCGCTCCCCCGCTCCGCCCTCTTCAGGTCGCCGCTCCCCCGCTCCGCCCTCTTCAGGTCGCCGCTCCCCCGCTCCGCCCTCTTCAGGTCGCCGCTCCCCCGCTCCGCCCTCTTCAGGTCGCCGCTCCCCCGCTCCGCCCTCTTCAGGTCGCCGCTCCCCCGCTCCGCCCTCTTCAGGTCGCCGCTCCCCCGCTCCGCCCTCTTCAGGTCGCCGCTCCCCCGCTCCGCCCTCTTCAGGTCGCCGCTCCCCCGCTCCGCCCTCTTCAGGTCGCCGCTCCCCCGCTCCGCCCTCTTCTCTTGATTTCATTCATCATACCACAACCCACCATGACACTCCCGCCCATCATCTCCATGGCTCGCCCTCGTCGTCAGGCCTCCTCTCGCCCGCTCTCATCCCTTGTTATGTTTTCGCCACCCATGCCATGCCACACACCGCCATCAGCACGCGTGAATCTCCTCTCGCCTCCCAATCTTCCCCCCCTCTCCCCCCTCCCCCTCAGGGCCGTGAAGGCACACATCCTTCGCACGCTGCAGCAGCAGCAGCCGCTGCCGGCGCTGCTGGAAGGCGACGGGGAGGGAGAGGACGGGGAGACGGGGGATGGGGAGAAGGGGGATGGGGCAGGGGAAAAGGGAAGCAGCCGGGCAGCCTTGGGGGCGCAGCAAGGGGAGGGGGGACCGGAGGGCGCGGAAGTTGGGGTGGCGGGGGAAGGGGGGGAGGGGAGCGAGGGGATGGGGGATGCGCCCAGTTCCCCCCGCGCGGACCAGGCAGGGCTGGCAGCGGCCATGGGCAGGGGGGGGGGCGCGGAGGGAGTGGGGGGAGTGGGGGGAGTGGGTGGGGGAGCGGGCGGGGGAGGAGGGAGGGCAAGCTCGCGGCAGACAGCGACCGAGTTGATGATGGCGGTAGGGCGGGAGGAGGCAGGCGGGCACGTGGGCAGGCGGGCAGGCGGGTAGGCAGGCGGGCGGGTGGGAAGGGGGGATGCACGCGTGCTTACGTGTGGGCATGCGGGCACAGTAGTGGCAATCTGTGGGGCCTACAGCCGAATCCGATCGTCCCATGCCTTGCTACCTCGGCCAGCGCTGCTCCACTCCAGTGCTGCCTGTGCGCCCCATGCCTTGCCACCTGCCTGCCTCCCTGTGTCGCACACCCCACATTCCCCACTCTCCGTCACCCTCTTCCCTCCCACACCCCTCCCACACCCTCTTTCTCCTCACCCCCTCTCTCCCCCCACCAGGCGCGGGGGCGCAGTCTGGAGACGGCACTGTGCTGTATCGGAGTTTTTCGCGAGACTGTTGAGAGTTCTCATAAGTCAAGCCCTCTTTTCTCCTCTCCCCTCCTCTCTCCCCCCACCAGGCGCGGGGGCGCAGTCTGGAGACGGCGCTGCGCTCGCTGCAGCGCCTGCTGGATGGGCTGGGGGAGCGGAGGGCAGGGGGGAGAGGTGGGGGGGGGAGAGGTGGGGGGGGGAGAGGCGCGGGGGGAAGAGGTGCAGGAGAGAGAGTGGGGGGGCCAGTTGTGGTTGGCAAGGGGGGAGATGCAGGGGAAGGGGGGAGGGAGGAGGAGGGGGAAGGGGGGGCGGAGTGGGAGGAGGCGGTGGGGGAGATGAGTGCAGGTACAGTGGAGGCGGTGGGGGAGATGGTGCGGCATGGCAACCGCTTTGTGCGTGAGGCCGCCATGTTTGCCCTCGCTGCGCTGTGCCACGTCATGGGGGCAGCGCAGCTCACCAGGTGGGCGATGTGATGGGAGCGAGGTAGCTCACCAGGTGCGCTGTTTCGGGCTGGTCATGCTTGTGGCCATGCCTCATCCTGAACATGCTTCAGCCCGTACATGCCACACTCTTTCCTTATCCATTCGCACCAAAATGCTTCTCCCTTCTGCCTTCCCCTCTCTCCCTCTGTCGCTCCCTTATGCGCCCTGTGCAGGTTGGGGGAGACCATTGCCTCGCAGCTCGCTGTGGGGCTGGGGGACAACTGGAGCCAAGTCAGATACGGTGAGGGTGCAGAGCGGTGAGATGCAGTGCGGTGAGATAGAGTGCAATGATGTGCACTTCGCGGTGAGACGCAGTGCTGTGAGGTGCTGTGAGGTGATACCAGCCAGAAGCCTTACTCTTTCCGCTCTGCTCCTTTCCCCTGCCTCCCACCGTGCCTCCCTTCACCTCATCTCATCGTGCCTGCCACGACTGCCTGCCCTTGCTCACCACAGCATTCTCCCTCACCCCTCTTGCTGAGCCCCCAACACTCTGCTCCTCTGTACCGCAATCCTTTCCTCACCCCATCACCCCCCTCCCCCTTTTCTCCCCCTGCCTCACACCCCAGCGGCATCGGTGGGCAACCGAGCATTCTTCCTGTCAGCGGGCGCGGTGCATCACAAGGAGCGCTACCTGCCCACACTGCTGCCCGCCATGTGAGCCACCTGCTGCCCGCCATGCCACCATGTCACATACCATACCACCATCACATACCATACCACCATCACATACCATACCACCATCACATACCATACCACCATCACCACCATTCCACAAGACACCAGTCTCCGCCCCCTGCCGCTTTCCTCCCCTCCCTCTGCCCCTCCAACCCTCTTAACCCCCCCCCCCAGAATGTTCAACCGCTATTACAGGGCGGATGGGGTGCGCATCTACTCGCACAGTACCCCGTACTATGGATGCCCGCGTACCTTTCCCCCTCCCCTCTCCCTCCCCTCTCCCCCCCCCTCCCCTCCCCTCTCCTCCCTTCCTTCCCCCCATCCCCAGGGTGTTCAACCGCTACTACGGGGCGGACGGGGTGCGCATCTACTCGCAGGACACGTGGCAGCGCGTGATGGGCGGGGGCGGGCGGGCGGCAGTGGCGCAGCACATGGCGCTGGTGGCGACATTTTATAGCCTGCAGGCGCGCGCCCAGAACTACCTCGTGCGAGAGGTATGGGGCATGGGGCATGGGGTACGGTACGGGGCATGGGGCATGGCTCGTGCGCTCAGAACTACCTCGTGCGAGAGGTATGGGGCATGGGGCATGGGGTACGGTACGGGGCATGGGGCATGGCTCGTGCGCTCAGAACTACCTCGTGCGAGAGGTATGGGGCATGGGGCATGGGGTACGGTACGGGGCATGGGGCATGGCTCGTGCGCTCAGAACTACCTCGTGCGAGAGGTATGGGGCATGGGGCATGGGGTACGGTACGGGGCATGGGGCATGGCTCGTGCGCTCAGAACTACCTCGTGCGAGAGGTATGGGGCATGGGGCATGGGGTACGGTACGGGGCATGGGGCATGGCTCGTGCGCTCAGAACTACCTCGTGCGAGAGGTATGGGGCATGGGGCATGGGGTACGGTACGGGGCATGGGGCATGGCTCGTGCGCTCAGAACTACCTCGTGCGAGAGGTATGGGGCATGGGGCATGGGGTACGGTACGGGGCATGGGGCATGGCTCGTGCGCTCAGAACTACCTCGTGCGAGAGGTATGGGGCATGGGGCATGGGGTACGGTACGGGGCATGGGGCATGGCTCGTGCGCTCAGAACTACCTCGTGCGAGAGGTATGGGGCATGGGGCATGGGGTACGGTACGGGGCATGGGGCATGGCTCGTGCGCTCAGAACTACCTCGTGCGAGAGGTATGGGGCATGGGGCATGGGGTACGGTACGGGGCATGGGGCATGGCTCGTGCGCTCAGAACTACCTCGTGCGAGAGGTATGGGGCATGGGGCATGGGGTACGGTACGGGGCATGGGGCATGGCTCGTGCGCTCAGAACTACCTCGTGCGAGAGGTATGGGGCATGGGGCATGGGGTACGGTACGGGGCATGGGGCATGGCTCGTGCGCTCAGAACTACCTCGTGCGAGAGGTATGGGGCATGGGGCATGGGGTACGGTACGGGGCATGGGGCATGGCTCGTGCGCTCAGAACTACCTCGTGCGAGAGGTATGGGGCATGGGGCATGGGGTACGGTACGGGGCATGGGGCATGGCTCGTGCGCTCAGAACTACCTCGTGCGAGAGGTATGGGGCATGGGGCATGGGGTACGGTACGGGGCATGGGGCATGGCTCGTGCGCTCAGAACTACCTCGTGCGAGAGGTATGGGGCATGGGGCATGGGGTACGGTACGGGGCATGGGGCATGGCTCGTGCGCTCAGAACTACCTCGTGCGAGAGGTATGGGGCATGGGGCATGGGGTACGGTACGGGGCATGGGGCATGGCTCGTGCGCTCAGAACTACCTCGTGCGAGAGGTATGGGGCATGGGGCATGGGGTACGGTACGGGGCATGGGGCATGGCTCGTGCGCTCAGAACTACCTCGTGCGAGAGGTATGGGGCATGGGGCATGGGGTACGGTACGGGGCATGGGGCATGGCTCGTGCGCTCAGAACTACCTCGTGCGAGAGGTATGGGGCATGGGGCATGGGGTACGGTACGGGGCATGGGGCATGGCTCGTGCGCTCAGAACTACCTCGTGCGAGAGGTATGGGGCATGTGGCATGGGGTACGGTACGGGGCATGGGGCATGGCTCGTGCGCTCAGAACTACCTCGTGCGAGAGGTATGGGGCATGGGGCATGGGGTACGGTACGGGGCATGGGGCATGGCTCGTGCGCTCAGAACTACCTCGTGCGAGAGGTATGGGGCATGGGGCATGGGGTACGGTACGGGGCATGGGGCATGGCTCGTGCGCTCAGAACTACCTCGTGCGAGAGGTATGGGGCATGGGGCATGGGGTACGGTACGGGGCATGGGGCATGGCTCGTGCGCTCAGAACTACCTCGTGCGAGAGGTATGGGGCATGGGGCATGGGGTACGGTACGGGGCATGGGGCATGGCTCGTGCGCTCAGAACTACCTCGTGCGAGAGGTATGGGGCATGGGGCATGGGGTACGGTACGGGGCATGGGGCATGGCTCGTGCGCTCAGAACTACCTCGTGCGAGAGGTATGGGGCATGGGGCATGGGGCATGGGGTACGGTACGGGGCATGGGGCATGGCTCGTGCGCTCAGAACTACCTCGTGCGAGAGGTATGGGGCATGGGGCATGGGGTACGGTACGGGGCATGGGGCATGGCTCGTGCGCTCAGAACTACCTCGTGCGAGAGGTATGGGGCATGGGGCATGGGGTACGGTACGGGGCATGGGGCATGGCTCGTGCGCTCAGAACTACCTCGTGCGAGAGGTATGGGGCATGGGGCATGGGGTACGGTACGGGGCATGGGGCATGGCTCGTGCGCTCAGAACTACCTCGTGCGAGAGGTATGGGGCATGGGGCATGGGGTACGGTACGGGGCATGGGGCATGGCTCGTGCGCTCAGAACTACCTCGTGCGAGAGGTATGGGGCATGGGGCATGGGGTACGGTACGGGGCATGGGGCATGGCTCGTGCGCTCAGAACTACCTCGTGCGAGAGGTATGGGGCATGGGGCATGGGGTACGGTATGGGGCATGGGGCATGGCTCGTGCGCTCAGAACTACCTCGTGCGAGAGGTATGGGGCATGGGGCATGGGGTACGGTACGGGGCATGGGGCATGGCTCGTGCGCTCAGAACTACCTCGTGCGAGAGGTATGGGGCATGGGGCATGGGGTACGGTACGGGGCATGGGGCATGGCTCGTGCGCTCAGAACTACCTCGTGCGAGAGGTATGGGGCATGGGGCATGGGGTACGGTACGGGGCATGGGGCATGGCTCGTGCGCTCAGAACTACCTCGTGCGAGAGGTATGGGGCATGGGGCATGGGGTACGGTACGGGGCATGGGGCATGGCTCGTGCGCTCAGAACTACCTCGTGCGAGAGGTATGGGGCATGGGGCATGGGGTACGGTACGGGGCATGGGGCATGGCTCGTGCGCTCAGAACTACCTCGTGCGAGAGGTATGGGGCATGGGGCATGGGGTACGGTACGGGGCATGGGGCATGGCTCGTGCGCTCAGAACTACCTCGTGCGAGAGGTATGGGGCATGGGGCATGGGGTACGGTACGGGGCATGGGGCATGGCTCGTGCGCTCAGAACTACCTCGTGCGAGAGGT